CTGATTTCTTTTGATTATTTTAATTTCTTTCATGAAAAGCACTTTGAATTGCCACTGTGTATGAAATGTGCTATATAAATAAACTTTCCTTGCCTTGCCTTATTTATGACAATATTGTCTTTGTAGAGCTGCTTAATGCAAATCAAATTCGTTCCGTTATTGATGTTTATTTCTGTGAAGCTGCCTCAGCAATCTTGGTTGTGAATGTGTCTTTTGTTCTACATTAGGTAGATGCATATGGATACAAATACTTCATAGACAATTGCATAGACACATTTTTTATTTGCATTACAACAAATCATAATCTAAAATGTCATAATTGTAAACACGAAACAACTGAGTGCACTAGCATCTGAAATCTACTGAATGGAGTAAGATTGCCTGTTAAACGGTTTCCAAGGCCATAAGCCACCAGATTATGGAAATGCGTCATATCTGCATGTTTTGATGAAACGTGCATAACTGCCAAGAACTTGAAATCAGATTTACTGACATCAGTTACTGGCTTCATCAACACCGAAAGATTTGATCTTACCACTAACAGTTCTCAGAAATAGATGCAGTTCTAGTTTCAACTTCAGACATTGCTCTTTAAAAGAAAAAATAGCAGCATGCAAAGTCATGAGGTCCCCAATCCTCTGCTATTAAAGGGATATTTCACTTTGAAGTTAATTTTTGATATGTTTTACCTTACCTCAAAGGCATCCAAGATGTAGGTGTCTTTTTCTGATAAATACTGTTCGTTTTCTCACACAAACCGCTCGATCAATGTGTCCTTACATTTACGAGTCATTAAATCATGTTTAATTTGGACTTCTCTGTTCGTGCTCTTTTAGGAGATCCCCAGACTTCCATTATATGACTGACAGACACGAACGGTTTGACCGAAAAATATCGAAATTGAAACTACTGTGGAAACAAAGACACCTACATCTTGGATGCCCTTGAGGTAAGATAAAACATACCAAACATTCATTTCAAAAGTGTACTATCCCTTTAAACCAGAGAGGATATCAAAAGAAAGTGCATTGCATTATTATTTGCTCTTTCCAGTTTTCTTCCCTTCACATTTATTTACATAGTGCTTTACACAATACAGATTGTTTAAAAGCAGCTTCACATCAATAAACAGGCAAATAACAATGGTAATGTGCATTTTCTATAATGTTATCCTTCGTGACACAACTTATTATTACAGATTATAGTCATGCTGCTGTGCAATAGATGGTCACAAGCTCTTACCATCTCAAATACTGCAATTTGCAATGTCCATATTACTGATTATATGGTTGGAAATGTAATTCATAAACAGGTGCACGCTGGCGGTTGTGTGTGCCTGGGTATGAAAATGATATACTTGAATTTTTGCATATTTGTGGTATCTTTATAAATACAATATATGCAATGTTATTAGTTGAGTTAAATCTGGTAATGCCATGGTGAAATCCATGAGTACTGAGATACACATAAGCTTCCTTGCTTCAGCTTCCATTAATCTTAAGACTTCTGTAACAAACATGATTGTGAACAGCTCAAATTAATAAATAAACAATGTTGCAAAATTCATTATGAAACGAATTCAGTTCCAGCTGTAAAGCAGCTCTACAGATAATAATAGTGCTAATTTAGTTTCAATCCAGTTCTCATCCGATATTTTCAATGCAATTAAATCAAGACTCTTACTGAATATTAATAGTCTTTTAAACCCCAAAACTGCACACAGAAATAAACTGCAATCTGAAGGCTTTTAATGCATCTCATCAATGAAAACCCTCTCCATTTCCCACTGATTAATGTCAATGCAATTAAAGCCCATTGAAATTAAGATTACAGCTATAGTCAAGATCTGGCCTTGTCGCTGAGGTCAGATTGCTGGTAAACGGCCTATTTTAGCCAAACGATCCATGTCAATTAGTCACCAAATCTAAAGCTGGAAGTTCATCAAGAAGTCATGCACAGATTGTAACTGAAGGCAATTATGCTCTGCAAGACATGTTTTTACGCAAATTATGGCCATTTCAGTCGTGAGAGATCAAGTGAGCATGTGGACTATTGAGAAAACATCTCAGAAATTCACAATGCAAGAGAACATTTCAGACATTTGTGCAAGAGGGTTATTTAAGAAGCAGGAACCCCTCCAAACCTCTAATTTTGTGTCTAGTAAAGACCACAGAGTCTTCACATCGATTTTATAATTCATCTAATGCATCTGACGAACACTTAAATGGACAGAACAACGTAGTGGTTTACTTCCATCCCTCAAGAAGTAAACAAACTAGACAAAAATCATTGGATATGCAAATCGATGCAAGATTAACGTAAACACAGATGCTAATGGAAGCCTTGCAACTGTTAAATCACTAGGGTCATTAAATGACTTGTTTTTCTGTCTAGTCACAGAATTTACAGTTCAAACACGGGTACTAAAATACTAAATTAAAAATGAATACAACTATAAAAAAGAAGACTACAAAAACACAATTAAATGACCAAAAGATTAACTAAAATGAAACTGGAAAATATATATAAAAAATTAAAATTAGTATCTTAGGCCATTTGTCCACCAAAGTCTCATAGTATTTTTTATTTTTTTTTTTCAGTAGTGTGCAATGGGAGCGGTGTGTGTTTAAAAACGTCTATTTCATGCAGAGTTTATTGACGTTTTTTTTAACAAAACGCAGAACTCATCACTGTCACTTTTTAACCAGCCATCCAATCACAATTGGGGGGGCGGGACAAATAGTGAATTCAAAAGTTGTGTTTATGAGGTTGGAGCAAGATGGCGGAGTCCCTTCTCTTAATCAACTACACAAAAATACAGCACGGTTTTAACTCTACTTCTAAAAAAATGCATAACAGTGAATTCGCAGCAGGTGTGTTTTGCTCTTTTACTTTTTTTAATAAGTTCATGAAGCCAGGGTAAACTTTGTTGCATATTATATTGTTAGATTACGTGCTTTCATATTTTGTGCAGGCAATTATCTTATTTTGCTAAAAAGAGATATTAAAGGATTAGTTCACTTTTGAAAAAACTTTTGCTGATAATTTACTCACCCCCATGTCATCCAAGATGTCCATGTCTTTCTTTCCTCAGTCGAAAAGAAATGTAGGTTTTTGATGAAAACATTCCAGGATTTTTCTCCATATAATGGACTTCAATGGGAACCGGATGGTTCAGGTCCAAAAGATAGTGTTAATAACTGTTTCAGATGCAGCTTCAAATGTCTTTAAACGATATCAGACGATGAATAAGGGTCTTATCATGCGAAACGATCGGTTATTTCAAAGCTTATTCCAAAAATGTAACTTTTTTAAGGACAAATGCTAGCCTTTCTCCATTCTGTGAGGCGCGTTTGTAACGTCACGTAGTACGTAATTACGTTCAAAAGGTCACGGGCGACGTAGCCGGAAGTACAGAATCAAAATCGTCCGACATCGTTGTTTTCCCTTTTAATTCCTTTTTTGTAAACGGCGTTTGAGTTAGTTTTCACGTTCAACCTATGTGTTCAACTTGTAAACACTCTGACTCTGTACTTCTGGCTACGTCGCCCGTGACCTTTTGAACGTAATTACGTGACGTTGCAAACGCGCCTCACAGAATGGAGAAAGGCTAGCATTTGTCCTTAGAAAAGTTACATTTTTGGAATAAGTTTTGAAATAACCGATCGTTTCGCATGATAAGACCCTTATTCATCGTCTGATATCGTTTAAAGACATTTGAAGCTGCATCTGAAACAGTTATTAACACTATCTTTTGGACCTGAACCATCCGGTTCCCATTGAAGTCCATTATATGGAGAAAAATCCTGGAATGTTTTCATCAAAAACCTAAATTTCTTTTCGACTGAGGAAAGAAAGACATGGACATCTTGGATGACATGGGGGTGAGTAATTTATCAGCAAAAGTTTTTTCAAAAGTGAACTAATCCTTTAAACATGCCTGACAATATATGTCAAAATATATGATGCATATGGATAAATCAAGAATGGCTCTTAATTTAGTACAACTTGGCTAATTTGTCAGTAATTAAGAAAATCGGTTTATTTAAACGAGCTGATGACAGGCGTGTGAGATGGAAGCTGTGGTTGCTGGGTTTAATATTCATAATGATGGAAGCTGCAGTCCTTTACTTCAAAAAAAAATCCAGATAGATCTATAGCTTAAGATGATGAACGTTTGGAACAAGATTTCTACCTGGCTCAAGCTAGTTTAGGTGGTTGAACTCTGGTCGACACCAGCAGGAATGCCTTAAACTACCAATTAAAGGGATACTTCAGTATTTAGCATTAAGCTTTGTATTGGACCTGTAGTATTTTCGAATTACCATGCTTTCCACCCTCATATCCCCCTGAGACGAGAGATTTATGTATTTTCTTGTCTGGAAAAAATCCTCTGATGATGCAAAAATCGTCATTTTTTTTTTTTTTTTGTCCAGAGGCTAAAGACTACAGTCAGTATTCCGGTCTGTCGATCTCACTCACAGAATGAACACAGTGTCGGCCATCTTTGTTTGTAAGCTAAGCTAGCAGGCTCTTGTTCTGTGGAGAAAGCTGAGGAGTAACTTTAGGGGTTACCATCCTCTTTTTCCCGGACATGTCCGGCCGTCGATGTCCGGGATTCAGCTTTTGCTTTCTGCAGTCGCCATTCATTGTTTACATGCACAGCTTTTGTTTCAATTTAAATAACTATTAACAATAACTATTGATGAATGTCACTCAGGACTTCTGGTTGTGTTGCTTTTCGTTTCAAATAAACAGCACGAGTCTCAGTAAGCCGATCCTGTCCTCTTCCTTCCTTCCTCTGAATATTGTTACACTGGTGCCATCTGACCCGTGACCCCGACCCTAAACCTACCCATTACCGGGGTTTAGACAAATCGTACGAATTGGTTGAGATGGCGTTTGATTAAACCACATTAAGATGGTTTTTAAGGCAAGGACTGGAGCTCTACAGACATAAAACCAGCTTGTTATCCATAGTGATTATTATTGAGTCTTACCTGGACACGACCAGGGGCAAAATCAGCATCTTCAACATCCTCATCAGCAGCTCTCCGGGAAACTGGAAGTATTTCACTTCCTGGAGGAGAAAAAATATATAAAAAAACAACAAAAAACAGACCAGTTACAACCACTTTAACAAGGCAGAAAACGCTGAGAATCAACATGTGAGAAAATTATTAATCTGCTATGGTGGATTTGGCCTTTATGCTTTTTCCCCAGTGTCGAACAGGCTTGTTTCAAGGTTATCAGGTTTTGCTTTCATTCTGGAATGAAATGGCCATCAGGCATCGTGGTAAAGTTTTGATGTTTAAAGGGTTAGTTCACCCAAAAATTAAAATTAAGTCATTAATTACTCACCCCCATGCTGTTCCAACCCCGTAAGACCTTCGTTCATCTTCGGAACACAAATAAAGATATTTTTGATTGAATCTGAGAGCTGGATCAGTCCTCCATAGACTGCCTAAGGGACTGGCTCTTGACGGCCCATAAAGCCATTAAAGAAAAGGTTTAAATATTCCATGTGCCTACAGCGGCTCAATTATAAGTTTATCAAGCGACGAGACTACTTTTTGTGTGAAAAAAACATAAATAACGACTTTATTCGACTATTCCATTACTTCCTTATGGGCGCATGCGCGAGAACTGAGACGAGGACGTTCTCATTCGTCTACTTCTTGTTACCGGCTGCTCACCGCTTAGGAGTTTTACCGCCCCCTACCGTATAAGATGATGTGCTGATATAGCTGGAAGCGCAAAACTTTCTGTTTACAAGCAGAGGAAGATGCGCGCTGTACATACGCTTTTCAATTTGCGTATTTTCCGCACTATAAGGTGCACTTAAAAGCCTTTAATCTTCTCAAAAAACGACAGTCTTCCTTATAATCCGGAGCGCCTTATATATGGATCATCATCTTATACGGTAGGGGGCGGTAAAACTCCTAAGCGGTGAGCAGCCGGTAACAAGAAGTGGTCGAATGAGAACGTCCTCGTCTCAGTTCTCGCGCATGCGCCCAAAAGGAAGTAATGTAATAGTGGAATAAAGTCGTTATTTATGTTTTTTTTACACAAAAAGTAGTCTCGTCGCTTGATAAACTTATAATTGAGCTGCTGTAGGCACATGGAATATTTAAACCTTTTCTTTAATGACTTTATGGGCCGTCAAGAGCCAGTCCCTTAGGCAGTCTATGTAGGACTGATCCAGCTCTCAGATTCAATCAAAAATATCTTTATTTGTGTTCTGAAGACGAACGAAGGTCTTACGGGGTTGGAACAGCATGGGGGTGAGTAATTAATGACTTAATTTTCATTTTTGGGTGAACTAACCCTTTAATATCCCTAAAAAAAACCCCACAATTAAGAAATGATGCCTCTATTGTTTAACTTCAGGCAGAAAACAGCTGAAATCAGCAGATCTTGTTGAGTTGCCTAAACGCTCCTCTTTATTGGCCCTCGGCAGTGACCGCAGTCCAAAACTGGAGAAACTGCCCAGCGATAATGCCCAAATCTCTCTCTCGCTCTCTCTTTGGTTGGATGTTTGGCCTGCGGTCAGGACTCTGAGAAAGCCTCTTTGCTTTAAGCTCTTGTCTGTTTTGCGGCCCGCTATGAGAGCAGAGGACTGCCAGAGCGGAGAAATTAATCCATCTTAAAACGGCAGAGCGGCACTGCATCGACTGCTCACAAACACACAAATATGAAAGTAATATAGCGATACCGTTCAAAAGTTTGGAGTTGGTACGCTTTTTTATGTTTTTGAACGAAGTCTCTTCTGCTCAGCAAGGCTGATTTATTTGATCAAAAAACAGTAATATTGTAAGAATGTAAATTAACCGATGTTATGCGACTAAAACTTAGTCATTACAAAAATCATGGCGACGGATATTGGTAGGTTTACATATATCCCAGCCACATTATTATTAATAGGAGACGATAGCTGTCAACATTGAACATAAGGGAGATTTCCCGGAATCCATCACCAAAATAAGGGATTTTTTTTTTTACATTATTAAGAGCATAAGAAACAAATGAAAAAAAAAAGATATATTTTATTCCTATGTTATGCTATGACCTCTGTAGTGGACACCAGGATTCGATTGTTTAAAAAAAAAAAATGACATGAAAATATATAGGCAAAAATAATGGAAATTTTTGACATATAAACATCGTTTTTTTTTTGTTTGTTTTTTTGCCTGGAAACGCTTCCAACACGCTTGCGTGTCGCGTGAAAAATGGGAATCTCTGGTTCTATTTATAGCATGCACGCGTTTGCGCGTGTCACACAGGCAGTGTGCAAGCTCTAATCTGTTAACATGGGAGCCGAAATAAAACGGTCACGCCACGCAGCTGAGACGCACGCAGCCAGTGTGTCTCCGACCAGCGCGCGCGGCGCTGCATCCGAGTATGAACGACTTCAAGGCGAATATGTCCGAGCTTGTACGTCTCCCACAATCAGAGCGTAAAAATACGGGATATTTTACTAAAACGGTAAGACAGCGGGAACAAAGATAAAATCCGTGAGAAACCCGGAAAAAACGGGAGGGTTGACAGCTATGGAAGGAGACGTATGTGTTATCCAAGCATTAATGGTATACTTGGAGCGGCTGGTGTTTCTGGGTGTTTCTCCCTCAAATCTGCTTCGAGGTCTTGATTGTGGCATTTCTTTGAGGTTTAGAATCTAGTATTCCTGTATTTATTTTGCCTTTTTTGAATTTAATAAAGAACTCTGTCTCGTATTCTGTCCAAACATACCGATTCATCTACATCAGGTAACCTGTAAACACGCAAAAACTGTTTCCATTGCAGTTTTGCGAATTTGACGTGTTTCCATTGGCCGTATTTTCAATACGCAATATCAATTTGCGAAATTTGAAGGGTAATGGAAACGGGGCTAGTGACAGTCGTCAATAGTTCTTGCTTTCCAGCTCTCATCAGCATTTACGGCACGAGCTCTAAAGCCCTGTTTACACGAGAATGTTCGCGGGTGAAAACGTAAAAATATTTTATCGGATGTGCCTTGTGTTTACACGGTGAAAATGTTTTTGAGGCTTAAAAACGCAAAAAAGTGAAACCACCCTCCATAGTGAAAATCTTAAAAACGCTCCCAGCCGCGTTTCCGTGTAAACGGTAAAAACGCAAAAGTCTGCTTGACAGTGAAGGTTGTACGCTGGCGCGTGGACTTGGTGTTGTTGTGTGGCAGTGCTCCACATCGCCACCTAGCCGCCTGGAGTGCATACTACATTGAATTTCACACACTTTTGTGTCACCATATGCACAAATTTGCAAATCCAAATTTGCATTTGGATTTCCCATCCAAAACGCTCATCTAAACGCAGAATAAAAAGTGATAACGCAACGCCACTTTTGCGTTTTCTCTTCATAATCGTTTCCGTGTAAACATACATCTGTCCTGAAATTGAACACAGTATACGTCAATGTTATTTTCAATTAAAAAAAAAACATTTGCACAAAACAAGCCGGTCCACTTTTCCAAAAAAATAATGGGACAAAAAGAAATCAAGTGACATTTAGAATAGATAAAATTGTGCGATTAATTGCGATTATTCGCAAATGAACTATGACATTAATGCGATTAATCACTGTTAAATATTTTAATCTTTTGACAGCACTAATAAAAACATTATTTCTTTACAAAACGAAACACTTTTACACAGTAGTGGACATAAGGCACATTAACAAAAATTGAGGAATCGTGTAAATCTCCGAACAAAGAGTGCTTTGTAAATATCTCACTCCGTTCAACTACTGATTACTCTATTAATGTAATGACTCCTTACAGAGGCCAATATCAATCATTTCTGATAAGGAACAGCTGCTGGAAACGAAAATAGCGAATCATCCCATCAAATATGTTCCTATCTGCCTGTTGCAATTTAAAATTAGATGTTCTCTTTCTACCTACATGGATTAAATCGCTTTAATTATAGTGGGAGCCACTTGCGTCCGCTAGTCTTGATGAAGGATGAGGATGAGCATGTATTTTCCCCTCATATTACAAGACATACAGATCCATAATTTACAATGGAGCAATGATTGCCAATCCAATATTTCTTTAAGAACATCTATTGCTTTGTTTTTGAATGCTCAGTTTTTGCGGTGGAATTATGATATGCCTTTGTTCCTACACTCTGTGAAAAATTACAAAGCAATTGTCTAAAAATTACCCATTGATTTGTGCATAAGTGGCTCATCTGTGTGCGATGGCAGAGGCCAGATGGCACGCTTGTTCTCCTAAAGAGTAACAAGGTACATCATGCATCTTTTTAATGAAGGGGCGATATGTATAATAGTACAAAAGACTTTAAAGTTGTGTTTAAATAGTTCAAACTACCATGTGTTATTTACACTTTGGAGACACTGAAAACAAGAACCTGGAATTATATTGAAAATGCAGAGCGGGATATTTTCCAAACAAGTTAAGATGAAGAAGTTTAGTTGGTTACACTCTTTACAATAAGGTTTCATTCGTTGACTTTATTTAACTAACAATGAAAATCACTTCTAAAGCATTTATTTTTTCTTAGATAAAGGTGCAGTTGGCAAATTCTGAAAAATGCTGTTGAAAGTGGATCAGACTCAGCACCAGAACACACTTTCAGCCAATCAGCAGTAAGAGGCGTGTCTACTCATGAGGGGGGAGGTGCCTATGTTGCATGGTGTATTGTTTAATTTGGGGGTGGGGCTATTGGGGTGTGAGCTTTTTTGGGTAGGGGCGTGTTTGTTTTGTTCAACAGATATGAACTTTTTTTCTCAGAAATTGCTTACTGCACCTTTAAGGTTAATCTCGACATGTACGAATACATTATAAGAATCAAAAGTTGTATCTGTTAATATTATTTAATGGACCTGAGCAGTTCAATTTTTAATGAAGAACATTATTAAATACTAATAATAATACAATTTCTTTACAACATTTAAAATTGATTACATTCAAAGATTAATAATAAATACTGTTAAAAATGTATAGTTACTTAATGTTAGTTAATGCATTAACTAATGGGACCTTTCATTTCTAAAGTGAAAACTGTCCAAATAAACATTTAGGAATTTAAAGCGGAACAA